CTGTAATATTAATGGAGACAGTCTATTACCGTCGTAATGTGTCAGCTGGAATGCGACTGTTCATATTCTTGTCCATAGATTGTCACAAGATTTTTTATAAATCTACAGTATCTGCATACTTGCCTTCAAGTATATACACTTGCATAGTTAACCAGGTACAACCTACTTAGTTAACCTTATAGCTTGTTGAATATAGTTCATGAAGTTCCACTTGAAATCAAAACCAGCCTTAATTTTCAGTTACTGATGGAAATATCTCTAAAGTTTCTGTCATAACTTTAATTTTTGTTTAAGATTATGTCGAATCTTACCAAGTCTTTGGACGTTACAATATTCATCGGTTATTTGAATGTCTTCCGAAATTCCATATGTTAAAGCCAGTGTAGTGAACGAAAACTTGGTGGGTGAAAACAACTTTTTATTTAAGCACTGTTAAACAGTATCTTTATAAACTATGAAAACCGTACATTGAATATACCATTCAGATATCTTCCTTCAGTTGTACTTTACATACATCATCATTATTCCGATCATGTCGTTATTTTGGTTACTCTTCGTTTCCCTTCTTCTCTTTATTTCACTCTTCTGCGGCTAAGCAATCTACTTCCAATTCCTGCTACATACTACTCATATCTCTCTGCATAAGTAATGCACACCACACCAGTACTTTCAATATCAGTTTGGGTGTTAGTTTCAGTTCAGCTTCTCTGGGGATCTCTTGATGCAACAGAAAAGTTTGAAAAACCATTCTTGACTATTCTGATGAAATGGAATTTATGAAATCATTGAAAAAAAGGAATATGTCATGCAGACTACAATAAATGATAGGTTCTACATTTACAAAAGGGTGTTTTTAAAAATTCCAGCAAGGAATTCAAGGTAAAACAAATGATAGTATTTTCTAGTAGGCCTTAGTCATATGAAATATACTCAGCAAGTCAATTACTTTAATATTTTTATGCAGTTTACGTTGATTTTCATCCGTACTGTCAACTTAATTAAGTCACTTGGCCTTGAAATTCCAAGAAATAAGTTGACTTTAGTAGACTGCTTTTATGGATACGGAGATTCATTAAAGCATTTTGAATTGAAAGCATTACTAAGTTATGAAAAACACTAAAATATTATGTAAACGTTTTTTTCGGATGAATAGTTTACTAGAATTTATCTTAATAAAAGATAGTTTTAAAACAATAATCCTCTGGCTAATGCCAGTTCATAATGATCTTTAAATTGTAAAAACTCGATAAACCAGGTGAATTCATGCTTATTGAAACAACTGTAATTATGAACTAAACTAGAATAACAACTACCATGAATCTGCAATCACGTTTTAGCCTCACAAAAGACATGAAAAAGGAAAAGGACACTTCGTTTTTCCATTTTGTCAAACTCATCTTCGTCTCGTTTTGTTACCAGGACATTGGTATAATTGTTTAATAAATTATACTATTAAAGGTACTTCTAAGTTTTGTAAGACAAACTCAATTAGTACATGCAAGGTATGCTTTACTCGTGTTTCGCTGATCTAATTAGTGAGCAATCAAAATTGACATCGTTTCAATGGACAGAAAGAAATAACTCCTGGGTTGCACGGTAATACATACAGTTTGTTCTGAACTGAAAGAATGAATGAAATTTTATGGGTATTTAGAAAGCATCTGTTAAAATAATTATTCTCAGATATGAAGCATCACGATATATAGCGTTTTCTTTACCTTAATAAGGCTTTAATGATATTGCCAAGAAAACAAAAGCTTCGCAATTAAACCTTAACAGGTGCCAGCTAAAGTGTCTCTACATAGGAGATGTTCTTTGTGAGATTCATGATTGCATATATACCGTTCTGATAAGTTTAAGCTAGATTAAGACCTATATGTTTGATTTACAGCTTGCTTCCAACCATCGGATCTCAACACAAAATGTTAAGTCAAAACTTGTAGTGAGTCGACGCCATTGAGTAACCGAGTTCGGTTTCTTGAATTCGGTCCCGGCATTAACACTATTTATTGATAAAAATGATACTATCTGGTCTCCTTCTCTAAAGATATTAAAGAATGGTTTGAATTTCAAGTTTTGAATAAAATTTAACTTCAAACAAAAAACGGCCCTAACAGAGATTAAAAATAACGAAAAATGAACCAAAAGACTCTTCCATGTGACTGGATCCATGATCATAAGATTAGTTAAACTGAAACCAAAAATTCAATGGAATTATATTGAACTATTACCCCCACCCCCAAACATCAGATAAAAAGAGAACATTGATTTTCTCGTTTGTTCTAATGTTTTTTTGGTTTCCAATTATTATCTGTCACTTAAATATGATCATTATGATTTATTTTCTTTCTAGGTAACTTTTCAGTTTGATCATAAATCTCTTTCACTTAGCATTACATTGATCCAAGTATCGTAGTCCGGTGATTAATATACACTAAATGTAATGCCAAATCTAAGTTCCCAGTCACTATCATAATAAATGAAATCTTTCACTTTTTGTGGTCTGTTAAGGCATATAACTACGTTCAAATGAATTGCTAATATTGGTAACTATACAGCACTATTTGTTAAATCAAATAATCCTATATTCAGATTATTCGTTATACACCCACCAGTCGCTGGCCTAAAGATGAGTATATCAAAAGTTGCAGAGCGAAACCACGATCGGTGAAGCTAATTAGATATTAACTGTGATAGGAATCACTGGTGTTATTAAATGCAGATCGACTGAATTTGGAATTCTAAATCACTAGAGTACTTAAATAGTTTATATGTTTCGGCTTCCCGGATTTAATCCATGTTGAAAGCATGGATGTTCACTTAAAAAATCTCAAGCAAAGACAGAATCGTAGTCTAGTACTCCTTTTGATTGTTAACGTATTCCCTAAAATGTATGTACTTGTGAAATCTAACTGATGTATAATGTTTGGTTTATATTGAACAAAATGAAAGTTTAGTACTGAAAAATATGATCATATTTGAATAATTTTGGGGTTTTGTATTCGAAATTATTATGAAAATTAGAACGCCACAAAATTATATTGTTAATATTATTATATGAATTTATTCCGTATGTTTTTGACTATTCTAATATAGATGGGTTTTGTGGATATTATAGTAATTTCAATGGTTAAGATCATGAGTCAGTTGAAGCTAGACCACTATGGAAAACCTGGAAGCACTGGACGGCCATTTCGTCCTATTGTGGGACTCCTCAGCAGTGCGCATCCACGAACTCGCTCCCTGCGAGATTCGAACCCAGGACCTACTGGTTTCGCGCGCGAACCACTAGATCACTGGGCCTGGATCCAATGGTGTTAATGTCTAACTCCAACTGATCCACCATTGTCTTCAGTAAGTTACTATCTCACAACAGACCTGGTTGAACTCCACTGGTCACCGCTTCTCACTAGAACTCCAGGAAATACCTCTCGAAGCCAGTCACTAGTGAGCATATGTTGATTAGTATCAGAAGGGGTTTTATGGATATTATAGTAATTTTAATGGTTGAGATCATGAGTCAAATTTTCCATGGTGGTCTAGCTTCGATTCACTCATGATCTTAACCATCGAAATTACTATAATATCTACAAAACCCATCTGATATTAATCAACATATGCTCACTAGTGACTGGCTTCAAGAGGTATTTCCTGGAGTTCTAGTGAGAAGTAGTGACCAGTGGAGTTCAACTAGGTCTGTTATGAGATAGTAACTCACTGAAGACGATGGTGGATGTGTCGCTCAATTTTGTGGATTAGTTGAAGTTGATATTCGAATATATATTAAGCCAACAGGTGTTTACCCCTATTTATTTTCCCAAATGAAACTATAATATTATTTTATGCAGAATGGTTAGTTAACAATAACAATGAATTCTTTTCAATAACTATAGTAATAATTACTGAATTAGTCATGACTGAGGGATTATCGCCCATATGTTCACATGCGTACTCGGAATTAAGAACTCTCAGTCATATAAACACTCCATTCAACACCATTTTTGTTTTATATGGGGGATGGCGTAGTTGTCGCCATTAATGAAAGATAAGTAGAAACTCACGAAAGGTAGAAAACAAAAAATTAGATTTTCGAGTAACTAATACAACTTGTTTCAGTTTTTAATGTTTTTTTCCGAACGCAGGCATTATTCACGCTTGTTTCGAACATGCTAACTGTTCGGCTTCACTAAAATATTTCTCAGAGATATTCCTTCGTCTCTGATGTCTTTATCCCTTTTGCATTTTCGTTACAAAGTGTCCCAATAGTGTCCTGCTGTATCGTTTTAACAGAGTTTACAAAGTGCGTTACTGTCAGGGTGTTTTTCTGTAATAATAGTCTATTGTACTACTGTTTATGAAATTTAAAATATTTTCTTTCTGCTAATAGAATTTATGAGTAAAATTCTTCGGAACCCTATTTTCCGCAGTTAAAATCACTAGTCAATCCTAGCTAGACCACCATTAGAAACCTGGAAGCACTAGATGACCGTTTTGTCCTAATGTGGGACTCCCCAGCAGTGCGCGTCCACGGTCATGCACGCGGGATTCCCACTCAGAACCTTCTGTCTTGCGCGCGAACGCTTAACCTGTAGACCACTGGGCCGGAGTCCAATGGTATTAATAACTAACTCTAATCGATCCATGATCGTGAACAGTCCTTCACTCATTGTTTGAGGTGGATAACTGTCTCACGCCCGACTTGGATTGGACTCCACTGGTCACGTCTCACTAGAACTCCAGGAGTTTAAAATGGCTTCCCCTTTAAGTTAAAGACGATTAATATGATATTGTTGTACAAATGTTCCTGGATTTGCGTAAAACACTCTGGAGAATAATGTTAACTACTGTAGTTTGTTTATTTAACAGTAATAATATTACATCAGTTCAGGTTACCAAAAATAAAACTACTTTTGCAATCAGCTCTGATAAATATTGTAAAAGCTTGAGAATTTACAACTCAACAAGATCAAACATAATTACTTTCAACGTTTTGTTTACAGTCTGCACAAATGTAAACTTGGAGTATGGTTCACGGAACAACTGAAACAAGCTCGAGCATCTGGTCGTGTACGAGGTGTTAGTGGTCCAGAAGCTCTACGTTCATCTATCCAACGAATTCAACGTAAGCGCAAACATTTTAAAGTTTACCATATGAGATAAAAGTTATTTTCATTTAAATTTCTGATTTCTAAATTAAGCATTTACTCTTTGTATCCTAATACTGTTTGTAAAACGGATATATTGTCCAAATGTCTCCATCTGATAACAAGCACTTTGCGTTAATTATTTTAACATTTGACGTTATTAAACGTTGACTATAATCAATTCAGTACCGCAATCGCATAACAAATACTGTAGACTGCGAGTTTTCTAAAAAGAATAAACCCACTTCATATGGATAATGTTGGCCAGTCAACATCAAGCTATTAGCCTATTCAAATGAATAAATGATTTACTTACGATAAAATCTGATTTTCCATTGTAATATATGAACGTAAAACACAATTTATGCGCATCTCAGCTAGAAATCTCAACATTTTTAATATTCACATGATAAAGTAGTTTATTCTCCAAGTCTTGTGAATATTATACAAACTATGATAGGATGAACAAGAAATAAGCCTGACAGCCTAATCTTAATTTTGTCACACTTTGATTGGCCTGTGAAATCGGAGTCTTCCAAATGTTTAAATTTTAAATGAGTTCTAATCATGTTTACTTGTAGATTTCATATTTTGCATATAAGCAAGTTATTTTGGCACTAGATACAAATCTATTCTACTGTCTACAAAAATAAGATATTTTGATGTGTTCCTAGAAATCTGCTACTGGAAGGAGGCGTTTATTAAAACCTATATGGCGAAAATCAGATAAGCCTGGTTACTATAAGCATATAGTTATCCATTTTATCGTATGCAGTCAGTATTGATGCTAATGAAATCTACTTCGAACAATGCTACAACACATATAGTCGAATATCGCCAAGATAGAAGTTGTATGCTTAGCAAAATCTAGGTCTCAAGCCCCATATTTTGTAACACAATATATTCGAGCTACAAAATTCTAAATCCTAAATACGAAATGCAAAAACGGTTATGTAGATACCTAAAATGTTTCTGATATTACGTTCATACATACGATAAACTAGCACTATATGTTTGTCACAAGTTACTGTAGAGGAGAATTTACTGTTAAGCTCTTTAATAAGATTCTACTTATCTAACTGTTTTTACAAAACTATTTCCTAGTAAGTTTTAAAGGTTTTAATATTTGTTTCGCCACAATATCAGGTGCTTGAATTCTAATTAATCTTCTTTTAGGTGAAGCGAGATCTAACACACCTCGTAGTCGAGGAGCAAATGTGCAAGAATTGAGTGAGTTTTCAAACGGATTATTACATGTTTATTTCCATGATGATGGTTGACAGAGAATCTAAAGGAAATCACTTTTTTATAGTTCTTGCTTGGGTTATAAGTGGTCATGTATTTCCCTCTCTGAAAGTAAGCTAGGGAATTCAAACTTTTAGAAATAATTTAAATTGTACTCACAGTAAGTTCGCTATCTTAAATTATTTTGGTATTTTATATGAACCGGGTTGATGTCTGATAAAATAATTAATAATGGGTTTGTATTATCTGTTGTTAGATGGTAATTTTAGAACTACGACATTATATAGTAACATCTAGAAGTTAGTCTTCGCAATTCTCAGTTGAAAAATCTATTAACCAGAGAAGATGAGAACTTAGATGGAGTGTTAATGTTTCTGTATCGTTAGTTGTAAGGTAGAACATGTGACTAAATAAGTGACTAGTTAGCATAGAAAACATCTTTTTGTATTACAGTGTCAAATAGCCTGAATGTTTAGACTCAAAAATCAGAAATGATTATTTCAGCGGTTGTATTTTAAGATTGCTAAGGCTGCCATTCATTTGTAGTTCGGAAGCCTGCAATAAACTTCTGAAATCTATCAGCCAAGAAACATTAAAAAATTTACACAGTACGTTTATATTTATCAACCTTTTTATCGTGTATAGATCCTATTTTAAAATTAACTTACAAGATTCATAGACAGATATAGTGAGATACTTGCATAAACTAATTATTACGGTCATGGGAAAGATCTAAATTTAAAAAAAGATGTTCATTCAGTTGCACTAAACTAACTTCCTGCAATTCGTTGTGCTAAGTGACTTATTTTTATGTTCAGAGGCAGGACTTTTTTCTACACAGAAAGATCAGTTCCTAAAACTATGACTAATTTTGTAGAAGCTGAACAAAATGGATTTAGTAGTATTCTTAAAATACCAGAACACCTCATCTGTTTTTAAAATGAGAATGATCAATGCTAGCAGCCTCAAAACTAAAATCCTCTTGCTCTAGAGCTTTTCTAGATTTGCACTGTCACATCATGTGAGTCAGTACGTCAAATATTAGTACTCTTTTTTCGTTAACATAAAAGGGAGTTGCATAGGTTTAGTGACCTGTAGAAATAATTACAATAAACACTATTATTTAGTTAGACTTCAACGATATTTTTGGTCCTAAACGCTTATTCATATATATCAGAATTCACGATTGCACATTGAAGTTTTACGATTTTTCATGTCATTTCTCATGCATGTAGTATTGAGTTTATATTTAAAGAATGATAACTGTCTCTAAGTGAAAAATGAACGGCGCCCAAAAGCTGTGGTGTTCCCTCTCTCTTTCTTTGTCTGTCTGTTACCACATAAAATTTATAACTCATTTTTCTATTCGAATGCTTAAATTTTTATACTACTAGCTTTCAATAATAAAGTTTCAAAGGTTTAAAAGAATTCCATGACTGCCAATTAAGCTTTTCTAAAAATTAATTTTACATTTTTATCTTACTACTATTTATGGTTCTTTGTGTAAGCCGAAAAAATATTTGGCGTTTGTCTAAATAAAAACAAATGAATTTTCAGTTTCAGTTCAAAATGATGATTGATGATTTGGTAAAAACAGCACATGATAATCTGGAAAAAATCAGTGTGATTTTTATTTCTTCAAAGTTGTCTGAAAGAAACAATAGAAATATAAAAGTGCTATCCCAAGAGAAAGTGTTCTGTTCAGGATGGAATAATCTTTCAGTAAAATAATGTTCCCCTTTTTTTGTATCGAAATGAAAATAATAGAGAAATCTGGTTCATTTGAAAGTAATATTTTTCACATATTTAAATAAAACTTAAACAACAAACCAAAACTGATTAGTACTGGAAAGCTTTTTCTAACCGACAAACTTATTTGAGATGAGATCCTATATTGTCTAATTTCATGGTAATATGTTTCGCTTATTTCTAGTATAACCCAGTTTACCTTTTATTTTTGATCAAGAGAAATGGATACTTTGTTGGTTAAGTCATTACTTTAATTATTGATCCTCTCTAGGCTTTATTGATTATTAGTAGTAAGGAATCCTCGTACATAACAGAATGTTCTAATGTCCATCTGTTAATAACCTGCACCAAAATTAACCCTAGTATTCTAATTCTCTGCAAAACGAAAACAAGCTTGGATCTGTTTTTAGATTAGATACATTTAGTAGTAGGACGTAAAAATTATTCATGTTAATAAACCACTGAAAATTAAAAAAGATGAAGGATTCATTAATTTTCCAGGTAACTCGACAATACAGAGTTGCCTGATTCTACATACAAGATTGTTGGACAGAAATAATTCTAATTTCTGAACTGATCGAGATAGAATTTCATGAATTCATACTATAAACTGAAAAAACCATCCGACTAAAAGGTGTAAACTTCTTGGTTTAGGGAATCGTGAAGATCCCCGAACTTTGTAGTTCTGCATCACGCACTGACCTTATTCCGACAGCTACTGCAAACCAGTAAGCACTGAGAAGCTGTTTGGTCTTAGTATGAAACTTCTCAACAGAGAATTGACTAAAGTTAGAATTAGAACCCATTTAGTGTTAACTCAGTGGTCTTAAGGTTAAGCACTCTCTGACAAGCTTGAAGGTCTTAAATTTAATTTTCAGTGAGATCATGGACACTCAATAACGAGCAGACCTGTTGTATAACGAAACCGTTGTTCAGTTCATCCTGGTTTCTAGTGATTTTATAAGGTCAATCAGTAATTTCGAAACCCGAAGATGGATAATTAGTCGTATTTTTTACTACAGTAATCTGGTTAGTTTAGACATGTGTTCCACCAGTAGCTGACATCATTTACATAATTATTATAAATTAAAAAGAAGCAAAAGCTTATTTGTCTCAGGTTTACGGCTTCGATTCTTTACAACCAGATTTATTATGACGAGTAATTACCATTGCGAAATTGAATTCCTCCTAATAAGATGTACGATTCCACAACAAGACATGAATCACATCATTTCTGTATTCTTTTTCGACTGAGAAAAGTTCAAAACGAAAAATATCTTCACATTAGTTCTGAGAAATTATTAAGCCAAATTTTCACCTGGAATTTCTATGTCCTGTTCATTTGGCCTTCTAAACAATATTGACTACTCATTATTGTTTCAAAATGATGTCAGTCTATACACTGATAATTACAGTTATCAGCTTGTGTACACATTCATTCTTTCATTCAGAACAACATAAAATAAATGTATTATAATTTATGAATCCATCATATGTATTGGCACGTATCGAGTTAATAGCATATGTACAAATAAACAATCAGTCTCACGCACAAATAAATCCTTTAGAATATGCATCTAGTGTTATGATTAATCATTAAAATAAGCTATGCTCAATTAAGTTCTAAGTAGGTATACACCAATCATAATCAATATCCTCTGTCAAATGAGTTAGGGAATAAAATAACAAAAATTAATTAAGATTTATGTTATTTGAGTGCAGAATTATATTATTTACGTAAGTAATTATGAATGGTAATTGTTAATAATAACAAAAAATAATAATGATATTTTGCAGAATGACAGTTGTTCGATGAGTCACATCAAAAACCTCTAGAAAAAGAATCGGATACATTTAACTACTCCTATGTGATTCGTAAATATGGTATTTATTTTAATTGGATCAAATATGTGATAGACGAAAGAGAAATGGTCTGCTTATTATTTCATTTGATCATAGAAATTAATTGAAACACTGAGGAAGATTACCATTAGGATTTAATTATATAAAATGACAACTTTCGTTCGTCAATTATGAGTTAAGTATGAACAAAAGTTGATGAAAAAGCAAATAAGAAATAAGAAGAATAAATGAATCGATTTAATTAATAAAGTAAGACTCTCATCGAAGTTTTACTTGAAACATATCTGAGACTAATTTCTAGCTTCGCAAGTAATAGCATATGGTTGCCTATTTCAGAAAATGACTAATGGATGCAAAGATTTAGGTGTTGTGTCCTATCAGCTGAATACTTGCTGCTACAACGCATTTCTAGTCAACACCTAATCATATTCCAGATCACCAATACAATTTGTTAGTGAAGTTTATAAAAATCCTAATAGGTCACTTCCTGAATCATGTACTAATTGTGTGTTCTAGAAAGACAACGAAAGCTCCAAAACTAAACCATCGATCTCAGAGAACTAAATACCTCCGAAATCCTCCTCATGAGCTACGAATATTTGTCATCATTTCACATGAAAAAAGCAGATAAGATAAATTTCCAGGCCCTATAAGCTATGTTGACCCACTATTTTTTGTTCATTACATTTAAATTACTACAAATCTGAAAATTTCAGTTTGAGAGTATTAAATTTCTTTTATAGGGTATTTTTCATTTCTCCGTATTGTCTAACAGAAATCATATCAATAATAGTTGCATATATATTGAAAAGTACATTGATAATACAAATTACTTATTGTTTTCTAGAATCGATTGTTTGTTCATTTTGTAACTATAAGCCATCTAGTATTATGCAACCTACCAGAATAATTTTCTATTGTTGTGAAATTTTTAAGTGTCTGATCGATTCAAACCACAAATTTTCAATACTGTCTGGCTATTTCGGCACTGATCATATAGTTAACTTGAAACTGAAATCAAAATATCGCCTTTTTATTTGATCACTGATGATAACTGTAATTACTAAAAGTGGTTTTTATGAAATCTGTAAATGGCATTTGCAATCCAGGTTTTTGAAAAAAATATTACCCAGGAATTGGATTTCAAAGGAATGATTGTTGTGGACAGTTAAGGCCCGAATTTCAAAACCATTCCACTAATGTGTCGGTGAGTATTAACCAGTGTCATGTTGTTTAGCCCTTGTATACAAATGAATTCTATTGATGAAGTTACAATCAAACAGCTAGACTTAGTGATCAGACATCGGCATGAGACTCTAAGGATTACCTAGAGCAACATAAGAACTAGATGATTAGTAGGTATTCGGTAGATAATCTTTTATAAGCCGTCCACTTAGGTTCTTTTAAAATTAAATCGGTGATAAATGAAGTCAAGTTGAATAATGGCTAGGAGTGGGATCTAAAAGGCTCATTTCGTCCAATTTCGGATTCATTAGTTGAGTATACTTGCATCCCAGCGTTAGTGTTCATATTAAAACTCTTACCCAGGATTTTTCGCTTCAATCACTCAATATGTTATCTACTGAATTACTGAGTTCAGATAGCCATTAACTTGTACAACAGAAATTTTTTCTTTAGGGTTGAAATCTTCCCGTTACTGTTATTAAGTACTGCAACTGATCAGTCTCTTCGGGCAACATCTAGGCATTCTATATATATATATAAATATATATATATATATATATATATATATATATATATATATATATATATATATATATATAGTTTGAATTTCACTTGTTATCAGTTTCATATAATGATTTTTTGAGTTGAGATGGTAACGATGACAGTAATACAAGGGTGAACTACCATGAAAAGAATGATAGGACATATAGCGAGATTACGAACCATGAAACAGATCCAAACTTTTTTCAAAGTTCATGGAGAGTGAAATGTGAGAAAATGAATGAATTTTTTTCCACTTTTATTTAAATGAAACATACAGTTATGATTTATCTTGCTCTCCAGTTCAACAGCATCGTAGATTATCCGGTACTTTTTCTTTCGGGAATACAAACGAAACAAATAACTTTGGGAAAAATGATAAGTCGAGATCTATGACTCTATTTTACCCTAAAGATGAAGTTAATGAAGAGCCAAATAAAGTATCTGAAGATAACCAATTTCTCAATCGTGATAGAGATTATTCAATTTTTGACAACTGTTCGAAGAACAACGCTACAGAAGATGCTGTGGATGAGCAACTTGAAGTCAATCATCAGGATCAACATGTTGGATGTAGGACATAATTTTAAATGCTTGTGGTGTTTGGTGCCTTAAAAGCCTTCTACATGTTTGACTTTGTTTTAGTATATCACTAATATCCAGTTAGTTATTCGATGTTGGGTGTTGCCTGAGATGTTGATCATCATTCCTATGTGTTCTATATCATTCAAATATGTAGATTTTACAGAAATTTGCTTTCTGTTTAATTTTAGCTACCACAACAGAGGAAAAACGTCAGTCTAGTTCGAAACCAGGTTAGCGTCGAATTTATACTTTTTACACGTCATTTTGTCTGCCCACCGATATCTGAGTTTGATTTGGTTCTGTATTAATAATAAAGTTAGATAGGTTATTTTTGCTGTTATTTATCCAGTCATAGGTTAGTATTTGTGAATAATACGGAATACACATACGCTCTAGTAAAACATATCATGTTGTGCTTTTTACACCTTTATGTGTTATTTTACTTGAAATGTGGTGTTGTGATACGATTATACTCTAATCTTAAAGTAATGTTAATAACTGAGTTGGAATGTAATGACAAACTAGTGGACTCAATTAATTCACTCAGTAATTTGTGGATTTACCTAATTTGCTCATAGTACGTGAAATATCTTTAACCGATCTCACAGAAACTAAGATGTTTGTTATTTATTTGCAGGTTACAAGTAATGGATTCAGTTATTTTGACAACTATTTCACATTGACACCTTACATTTACACACTAATCAATGTAAAGGCATGGATGTAGTAACTACAGTCTTCTTTTAAGTTTCATATCCTGAAAATAACTACTGACAGGTAAGGATAGGTAATACTGATAAACTGGATTAACATTTGATGAACTGTCAAACTACCTAAGAGATTGCTGCTACGCCCAGGAATTCTATGTTAAATGTAAAGTAGCTAAAGATAACAAGTCAAATGTTGCTAGAGTCAATAAAAAAATCAATATTTGTCCATCTCGAATTCAAAGGTGATGGCTTCACTGAGGAAACGAACAGGAGGCTTAACAACGTATTAATTGGAATCCACCGTGCAGTCAAATTATTAATCCTGTATAAAACATCTTCAATAATTCTGTCAAAAGTCGACAGCCAACCCTTTCACGTTACTGACAACTATATCTGGGAATTAAAGTGTATTTCCAAAAGTAGCCACAATCACTAAACGTACAGGAGGTCATATCTTAGATTTTTTGAGTATTTTTCAAAACATCTTCGAACAAGAGGAATAATTACTTTGAACAGAACAACCACTAAACTTCTCTTGGACACAGTTCATCAGGTCAATGCCTTAAAATCTGCCAAGGTGATTAACAAATAACCAAGCTACAATCTTTCGAAGTTTGCTGAAGCTATAGTTATCAGGCGTCAGGATCTTGATTTATGTGTTAAAAAGGAGGTAGTTGGTAATCTTTGCCTTTTTGACGCAAACACTTTTTTATCACATCACAAAATCTTGTTCACTTCTTCCTTCAACTTGATTACTGCGTCATGCATTTTTATTTCGACTACCTTTTAGATTAGTAATCTTATTTCAACTAAACGAGTTTTACTTATTTTATGCTTACTTATTGTTAGCGTCTATTCACCAAGTGATCACTCGTTTCTAACTCTTTGGTCTTTTGCTATAAAATGTTTTTTTTCACATGAGATATACATTAGCAATGTTTTATTTAGTATCTTAACTTTGTCACCATCCTTGATGTGTTGCACCGATGTATGTTCAAAATGTCTTTCAGCTAAACCCACTTCTGTAAGTAATTTCAACCCAATTAGTGATTAAGGTCCCTGTTTAAATATTACAGGTTATAAACGACTGATGAGAACGCAAAGAACTAAGACGAATTCATGTTATTTAACTCAAATTGTTGTTTTTAATCTATTCAATATTAGATAATTTAAATAATTTTGGTGGATAGATTAGCGTTTTACACTAAAAATTTAAGCTTATTTTTATTATTTCGTTCATGCTAGAATTAGAATAAATGAAATTTCGGGATTAATTTTGATAACATTGTTTATTTATCGTGTTTTATTTTCATTCATTAGACAAACAATCGAAATCTCTTCATGTAAGTTTAGTCACTTGTTCTAGATAACACAGTAATAAGTCATAATTTTCTTAAGGTTATTGATAGACTTTCTAAATTATATATATGTCGTTACTTATTGTACTTATTTTTGCGTTTAAGGTCACAGTGATAAGTTAATAATAAAAAGAGTTATCTTATTGGTTAGTTCCTTTAAGAACTTTAAACTTCTCTTTGTCATACAAACGATTGATTATAAGAGTTGAACGCATTCGTAGGTAAATAAACCCCATTCAAATCAAGTTTACACTTCAAAACAAAAGTGTATGATAGCATTGGAATATGAGTAAATATATGGAGCTTTGGTAGAAAGTCTTCCTTGTGTGTTGGAAATCGCTTTTTAAGGCTACTGACAATAGATTGAGGGATTTATCAAATAACCTTTTATTGAGCAAACTGTACTGTTGAACTTACATGACCTTTTGGTGATCTTGAATTTTGTATTCCTTTAGTAACTATTCCTAAAATAAGCAGGTTCCAATGAGAATTTACAATGAAAATTCGGTAAAACTAGAAGCTGTACCCAGAATGCACGTTAGATGTAAATGTTTAGTGGTTCTTTAGAACGACTAAATTTTGAATGGATTCAAACAATCTTTATTGAGGATATTCCTCAGAATTACTGTTCATCAGCTCCGATCATAAAATTGGATATTTGTTGGGGATCATTAAAGAATATATTGAGTAGAATTTATAGAATATATTTGTTAGGTTAAAAAAAGAATATTGAACTTTAAAATATGGAATAATCGTCTAGGATTTTTTTTCTTGATTAAATTGTAGAGAATATTTTGTGAAATTCTATGGCATGGTATTCCATAAACACATGTTTTGCATCTGAACTCAAATTTAGCTGTCACAATAAGTCACTTTTTCAAATGATATAAGAAACCATGTTGATGGATTTACGTTTTTTTAAAGTTAACATATGCATCTTCTGATTCTTAAGTGTCTTTAGATAGATTCGCTATACGATCTTAATTGTCCTCATAACTTTTGCGTAGGTCAAGTTTGATAGTCATCACAAAATAGCGCAAAATCTACTACTAAAAATAGTCGAAGACAAATAAATACATTATTTAAAAGTTTAGAGAGAAGTGAAACATTTAAGTAGTATGATAGTAAAAACGAAACAATAAGGGTGGATTCAAAAATTCTGGTAAAAATATTTTCAGTTAATTTAGATATTAAATTACACTCTCCTTTTAGTAACTCATGTTTAGCTGGTTAGATTGGCAGTTGTTGCTCATATCACTCCCAATATAATTACATGAGTGTAACTTCACTAACTGACCATACACTCTTTTTGTATTATAACATTCAAACTTGAAGAATTCCCAGTCACTGGTTGATAGTGGTTATGTTCCACAAAGAACTCATTCATGGATTGACGATGAAACTGATCTAACGGTTGATAGACATCACGTATGTGTGTTATTTTTATTGAATACTTTTGTAGACGTATGAAATCATTTAGATATGTCGATCTGATTTTGCATGTTATTTTGTCGTAATAAGTCATTGTTAACTGATTTCTTATTTCCTGAATAATATTCAGTTAAAATATTGGTTATTGTTAAAAGTAACCAATCAAATCCGACTGAATGCTCCAGAAATCCCGTTCACTATTCAGTATGTAGCTTTGTTTTTTTATCAAGTAATAGAAAACTTAAGTATCTCCCCACTATTCTTACTCCTTCTGTGGTGTGTGTTACTGATGTCGACAGATATAAGTAATATGTATCATTAATCGAAAGTGAAATGCCTGGCAGCACAAGGTTAAGAAGGTCGAAGTAAAGAGAGCGAGGATAGAGAATGATTTGTGTGGAGACGAAGAAACAATCAAGTCTGAGACAATTAATTGACATTTTGTAAATAAATTATTTACTGTATTGTTCTCAGATTTTACTAAGAGATTCTGTAATTTTGTGTTCAAATACATTTGTTTGTCCCCACTTGTATGTTCACGTTCACTACACTGCTAATGATGTTAATAACTATTTAAAGACAATTTTCATCGCAAGTAATATCAACTAAACGACCCTATCCCAACTACAATATAGTGGTTGTTCCTCTTAAGGTTTATATGAGTTTTCCACGCAGCACATAACTTTAAAAAATATCCGTAGAATTCCAATACACTGAATCGGTTAAAGAATTTTTTATCAAACACAGATACGCAAAATTATTTACAGTGGCGAGTTCCATTCAATTGGCTGTTCCAAAATAATCCACAGTGTGGCGATTCGGTCGGCACATTATTTGTCCTTACGAAATGCAGATTGTTGATATCAAAGTTGGACATCTGTGGAATCCTTCATTCGGTTTATTAATACTCTGTTGAAAACTGCCTCATACTGATAGTAGTATGATCCCTTTGTACTTGCCGTAATTACTGAAGTCTCCCTTTTTTGGTACGCTGATTAGTTATCCTTCTATTCAGTTCGTTAGTCTCATTCCTTCTCCTTAATCTTTCTAAAGAGAACGTGTAATATCTTTGCAACTACTTCTGTATCTGAAGTCGGCACTTCAGCTGGTATGCTTTCTGGTTTATCACCCTTAATTCGCCAGATGGTTATGCTGTTTTCATTTATTTTTGGTGAGGTATGATGAACGGGTAGATCTGTATGTGCTGCTTTCATATCCATTGGTTTCAATGGGGTTGGTCTATTCAAAAGCTCTTTAAAGTATCTTACCCATCTTCTCCGTTGCTCTTGAACCTCAGTGATTAGTTTAAATTGTTCGTTCCTGACTGGTTGCTATAGTTAACTTTATTTTCCTGAAAGCTCCTTGATTATTGCTATTTCCTTTTCTTGTAGCCTTTAGTCCTGTAGTTTTCAGATGTTTTACAGATTTCCGCTCGTCAGATCTAATGATTTTCCTAGATATAAGTAATTACTTAGCAATAGAATATAAAGGTGTTTCAGCTTAGAAGCAAAGACAAAAATATTATTTCATGACAGACAGTAACAGTTTTCACTTTTTCTGCATTTTATGTTTATATTTATATGATATAATGAACTTTGGCATATTAACAATAATTAAGAACCGTATTCTTCTTACAGTCATCTACTCCACAGTTGAATCAAATAAATATGTCTAAAGAAGCTAATCTTCATAAGCAGAATCCTGGATTCAGTTCATCAGAATGTTACAGTCCATCTTTAGGTAGTGACACTGCATCATTAATGGAGAAAAAACTCAACTCCTCATATACAGATTTGACACCTGGTAAAATACCTATAACACACCAAAAAAATTTTGATTCTGAAGCTGAAAGCCGCACAAATCTAAGTGTAGCCAGTGGGGTAAGTAAACAGTTCACATTTGACCAATAATATTTAATATATTAGAAGTATTAAAAATTTTAGTCAGTTTTTCGACCTAAAAGAAATTATGAATTACCATCAGTATTCACGCTATTTGAAGAAGAGTGATGTTTATTTGGTAGTTGAACTATTATTCTTATATTCACTGAATTTCATTGATATCCGTTGGTTTACGGTACGTATGACCTCAGAAAAATTGAAGGTAATAATGCCTCAACTCAACCAGTTTCGGGAAAAAGGTTTGGTACGAAGAACAATAAAACTGAAATAATAAACTAGTCAAAAAGTTCGATCAACCTCTCTCACACGTTTTTACTAAGTAGTGAAGGTTATTAAGTCGAGTTTCATGTTGAATCAGCTATCGTTCTTCTGTAGGAAATAATTAAAGCTGTGGACCTATAACGTCTGTTGAAATTCACTTTACAAGCAAATTTGTACCTCTCGTCTAGTGGTTATCTTTTATATTCTTGTACCATAGCAGTCGAAGCTAATAGCTAATTCTTTCTTCGTTAGCAGTTTCGTATGACCCAAATTTTTATCCGAACATCGAGACTATATTCTGATTTCCAGTAAACCATATGTCTTGATTCTTTCTTACATGAGTTAGTATAAAAAAAGACATTTAATGAATATTCCCCGTTTATAGCTGTGGAGAGAGGCTTAGTTAATACTGATCATAACAAAACGTTTTTAGAAGCATTCTCCTTGTACTAGACCAGTGAAATCTGTGTGGATTCTCTCCCAGGGACTAGTAGGCTAAGGCCGCTGCTGTGGTTCTCATTTAGAAGGGTTTTCAGAAACTTGCAGACATAAAGAACAGTTACGGAACTTGTTTTCGATATTTCTGTCCATTGAGAATCAACAAGCATAACTTCGAGCCTATGATTTCATCTCATTGATCTCGGAGTGAAATTACTTGAAAACCTTGTGACTCAGTAATTCTGGAACAACAATTCGATCACAGAACATAACGCGTGAGTTGACAACCATCAGTGAGTCACGTCGACGAAAGCTCTGCAAAAGTTCTCCTTCAAAGTGACGGTTTGGTGATTTGGCGGAATGATAACTCCATGCTTACAGTATGGACGTTTGGTGGCCGGCCATTGTTTTCAACCATGAAAGTATCGCGTTTCAAGTCTACCAATCTCTGGCATTCTGTGGTTATTTCTTATGGCTTTAAGTTCGGGCATTGTTCACTTTTACTCAAAATCCTGGTTCTGATATCAGCGTCCTCAGGAGACTGGAGACATCATACAAAACACAAATATTTAAACTGATCTTCCGTCATTGCTGGTAGTTTAAACCGCTCTCATTTGCGGTTCGCTAAATCTACGTGTTTCACCCAGTCGTCATCATCAACTCTTGTTATCTTGAGACACATAAAACGGATAATAAACAAAGATGACTGTTCAGCAAAGATTTGAGACAGGGTGTCAATTGTTGCATCGGAAGAAGAATCTATCGGGTCATTTAGAAGGATGAAATCACGTTCGTGTTCAACCGTGCCAAATTTTCCTAGGAGTATTCTGACCTTGGAAGTGTCACCAATTCTGTTGACCTACCTTGGACAAATTTTCACATTTTTTGAATCAGGATTCGAATGTGATACCACCCAAACCACCGTAATGAAATTCATGAATAGAATTTATGATGAAATTGGTATGTGAGTCACATGAAACATCAGTAAGTCCTCTGTGATTCAGATTAATTCGCTGCGTTAAGATTTCCAGGATACGAACTTGGAACTATTCATGCCTTTTTTCCCAACGTTCAAGTAAAGATTCTACTTCTTCAAGAGTGACTGGCATTATCATTGGTACATCTTTTCGCCAGTGTTACGTCCTCTACTTGATTACGGCAGAATAGGATGTACAACTATGGCACTCGAACAAGATTATTGGATAAGAATCAAAAATGTCCAGAAAAACATGGGTATTTATAGTTATTGGCGATGACATTATCGTTATCCAGTCAATCCTCAAAGAGGCAAGTTATGTCACCGTACAATCGTAGCATGCAACATTAGCATTATAGGAGGCCCTATCAGGTTCTGATTGGATGGGGTCACTTTGGCTCCTTAAGAGCCGCTGGAGGCTCCATTGTGCTTTTTGAAGCCGTCTCAACAGAATGATTGATAGACCCATCCTATATTTGAAAAGATTGACAATACCAAACCTTTTATTTATTTATGATTTGTCGAAGTGAAGAACAGCCAAATGCTCTGCAGAGTAGATTGGGATTCAAACGGAAATACCAAATACACTATTTACAGTTGTTAAAAGATATTCTATTTCATTCAGGAATTGTACAGGTGATCTGGACATTTAATTTACAACGTATATTACGAATGTATAGTCTGAAAATGCCTAATTTATTATCGCTTATCTTCATCTCAGTCAAATAACTTGACATTTGGAATATTTTATTGATAAATACATATATTTTTGTTGAGGTAATTAGATTTTCCTCATAGCAGGTGCCGTTAAAAAATGTACTACATAGGCTTTAGATTTAAGCTTGTTATGCTTGTTGAACGTTTAGAAACAGATAATTATCGTAAAAAACGCCTGATTGTAAAACACCAAAATCAAGGGATAAAGTAGCTTGGACTTTGCAAGGTGAATTTTTTACTATCGTTATAAAATACACGCTTATAAATTATAATATTAGTATCTTAATATATACAAAGTTAAACGTTAGATAAGTTTAGATCAAATCCAACAATTATGTAGGATACGCTTTGTTTCATTAATCAACTCAAACAACCCAATTAGAACAGGGTCTATGGAATTAAATAAAATAATTTCATTCCACCACTTTCCCATCAGCTGTATCCTACCTGAATAAAGGAGGTATTAAGCATAATGTCAAAATAAACACACTTTATATATATGACAGTTTAGTATTTTGAGTTTTTTTTCACAATAATAAAGAATGTTTATACAATAAAATTCAATCAGAATAAACGTACATGTTTCTTTAGACAGTTTAGAAAGATTTTATTAGATATGAAAATAATTTTCATCAAGGACTGAAATGAGTTCTTTTTCACTTGACATTTATCAATTTATTTCATTTCATCCAAAATATTGATGAGCATAAAATATTCCATTCCTTTAATTATGATCTTTTTCAAGCTCATAGGCGTTTAATTATTTAAATCTAATTTAAAAACGGTCTAAACGGTTTGTTTGAGTTACCATCATCATTTGGTTTGTGTTTTATGTATTCATCTATTCTAGGATGATGTGACATTAATACGGCTATTATTATTATCATCAATATTCAAAGTTATGGTTTTCTAGTCTTTTGTTACTTAATTTGGAAACAATTAAGTTGGATAGGTGGTATAATCATATCCGGATTCATCTTAAGCCTTCATTCTACTCTCACTTACTAGGTAAACGAAAATGTAAAATGATATGTACAAAACTAAGTAGTTTACATTGAACACACCGTAATTCCCATATTTTGAACATAGTATTCATTTCCTCTTTTGTTCTACATGTCTTCACTTTATCATCATTGATTTTCAGTTAGAGCCATATTACTGAATGCTACCGGTTTTTTGTCTGTAATCAAGGTATTTGGAACAGGGCTTTATTAGTAGACAGTTTTGACTGTTATATCCATATAGATTTTAGTTAGATGTATGTATCGCTTTTTAAACTTTAAAGTTATAACAGGTAGACTGCACTATAGTATGTACTTTTTCGCTTTTTAAGTGATTCATTCATTTAAGTAGTTAGTCATCTTCGCTTTTTAATCAAGTTACCTATTTAAACTTAAATATGAATGCTTGAATATATCTAACTCATTCATCACATTATGTTTTTGATCCATAAGAGAATCTATTCAAATCTCTCCTCTTGAAAAGTCTAAAATCAAAGAGCAATATAACTACAAGACTATTCACACCTTGAACTAAAAATATTTAACGTATCACAAAAAGCTAGTATATTCTCACAACTCTCCACTTTGTGGAATTCGATTTGATAAGTTCACTTCAAAACACTTCACTATGCAAAGTAGTTGTTTGATTGTTGAAGTTAAATCATCAAAAGTCCCAGAGAAATATGAAATACTGAATAAATATGAGTCTTGTGTTTGAACGTTTCTCATAATTTCATGTAAACTTTGTGTAAATCATGAACCTTTTTGTCAAATTCATGATACATGTTATTTAATATTGTAAACTGCTATACTCATATGCATATAAATATTTGTCTCTCCAACTTGTATTTTCATTTGAACACAATCTGATATAGAAAATATATACTTCTTTATTCTTAAAACTTGTTTTGACTTGATACAATGAGTAAGCATGTTTTCTATGATAGAATCTTCTAATATTTGCTTTTTTTTCTCATCCAATATGTTTCTTTTTTATCTTTGTAATTTGGTAAATCTATTTGTTTATTCAACTTAGTGATCTAGAAAAGTTTTGAAAAAGCTTTTGAGTTTTTCGACAATTTTATAGGTTAAGAATCTAATTTAACGAGTAGTAAATAAAGAGAAGAGCATGGAAAAATACAGTTAAATGGGAAATCCGTATGTCCGTATATATAAAACGTACAAACAAATCATCATAATCCCATTTTATTCTTCTTACCATGATAGCAAATACATTAACTCTATCTTTCACGTATAGTTTAATCCCACAAAAATGTTGATTTTGTTTAGGTTTTTCGCTAAAAACTCGACTCAAGTTGTTCTTAAAAAGTTTATCCCTATTTATAGTTGTCTCGTTTCTATTCTGTTACCTTCGAAGAACGAATTCACTTCTTCCGAAATGTTTCCCGATGCTCCCAAAAATAAATATGTCCTCTTGTTTATGTCAAGAGAGACTTGGAGATTTGACCGAATATTCCTGTGAATTCCCTGAAATTGAGAATATGTTTGAGGAACCAGTCAGTCAGTCAGTCGAACGCAACATAGAATCTGATACTTGAGTAGATCTCTTCAAGTTTCCATAGCCCATTAATACATGAAGATGAAATTGTTAAGCCAAATTCCAGAGAAGTATTGATAGTAACAGTATTAAGTGTAATAAAAAAGACCAAGCACTGAAGATATAACGAAAGGAGATATAAATCGAGGAACTAAGAAGGATTAAAGAACTTAGAAGACAAAGAGTCGAAGCACTTACTCTGTGTCATTCAAAATCTCTAACTATTGGTTACTATAATCACACGTATCCCAGCTAGGTAGTCTACACCAGGAATTTCTCGGAATTAGGAAACTCAAATGCGTATAGCTGACAGGTGGAAATTGTTGAATTCTTCTAACCCTTTTAGACTTACTACTCATACAGCTAAGAAATACTACTTAAAATCAGGCCACTTAAATTAGTAGACTACATACCAATATATACAGGCGAAGGGAAAGGACCAATCAACCATTGAACTATACTCATGTTGGAAACTCACCTACATATACATAGTTTTGCTTAAAAAATTACTGGTTTTACATGTCCATCAAGTATAAAACAGTAGTTGAATCGATATGATGTTCGTTTATTAAAATAAACCAGCCGCATGAATAAAGTCCTTTTAATGGTTCAGTGACGAATTGTGATGGCAAGAAGGTGTCTCCTTCAAACAACCATCATCTGCAGGGATACTGTAATCACACAACCAAAGAAGGAGATAAGGAAAGGTTGAATCTAAATGTGTCACACTTCCCCTTGCTAAACAGGTTACCATCTCCATATCTAAGGCCTTTAAAGTACAGAGTTATGCCATTCAAAACCATTCTGAGAAGACTGTTTGCGGCCAGCCGGACAAATCCATAGATCTTTAAGTATGACAGTCCAATTTTAGCAGCTGGATTGACCAAGATCTTAGTTAAACTTTGGGGACTAAATATAATTCTATTTCATTGGTCTTGATCATTGATCTTCCCAGTTTATAAAAAAGAAGAAAAGTTCTCTTGTGACTACCACAGGAGAATTCATTTTCAAAATGCTAATTGATTGTCTCAGATTTCATTGTCCCTGCATTTCCATACCAAATGCTTTCTGTCCCCGTCCTTTCCTCCTCGATCTTCTCAACCTTCTGCTGCTAGACATTCAATTTCTGATTAGCGTTATATACTACTTATGTCGACATAAGTAGCACACACCACAATAGTACCAATTGTTTTTATTCATTATCTGTGCCCTTTGTATCTCAGCCTTCATAAAAGTCCTTTCTGAAATGGAACATCACAATGAACTAGAAAGATTTAATGGGATGAAGAATTTTTCTCAAAAGTAAGAAAGCTCAAAAAACTTAGTAATTTATGGTCTAAAGAGGAGGTCTCAGGCTATTAAAAGTCTCTATAAAGATATCAGGTAAAGACTAAGGCCGTAAAAATTTAAACTAAGCATCACTATTTAAAACACAAAATTGCAGAATGACTGAGCTAATTGGTAGGATGTTTTACTGTTTCATTCGGTTATCAAATGGCTGAGTGATGGGTCTTTAAAATAATTTGGAAATAAAATTATACGAAGTACAATTAGTTTTCATATACAATCATTTAGCTAAACAAATATTTACCAGTTATATTTTTGGTAAAATCTTTAATAGTTTCATGATGAGTTGCTCATACTTATAACATGAGTTTTGGGAGTTTTTAAACTAATAAATGGCGTAGAAAGTGATTAATATAAATGTGAATGTTAGTGTAATTGTCAGTACTTAGTAATTTTCCTAAATAGGTAATTTTGAAATCTTATCATATATGTCCCATAATTTTCTTGGTTGATCTGTATTTAATTTAAATTAAATGAACAAATAAAAAAATGCTTATATTTCATAAGTTTAGATAGGTTTCACGGTCTAGATCCAATTTAAGTTGTACTGCTTCCAAACTCTCTCAAAGGATACAATAATATAGATAATTAAAGGAACTTCATCTAAAAAAGGTTTTCATTTTCCGTTGTATCAGTAAAGTGCAAAGATTGTTTGCATCTTGTTGACATAACTTCTGGTTTATTATTTTGAGCATTTTATCGACCTTTTATTTGTTTAACTCACCTTGTCATGCGCTTCTTTTATGCCTAAATTTTCTATCTAATTAGTGAATTTATTTCAATGAATTCAGGCCAATAAATTGAAATTATCCCTCTACCTAAGTTTACAAAGACATAAGATTCATCTTTTCACAAAATAATGCACTTGAGCCTCCTATCTTTTTATCTATTTTCATTTTCATTGTGTTACGATCGTATTCTAATCTTTATTTTATGAATTTCTTTAATCTGTATGTTTTAGGTATATCCTGATAGCATACAAAATCCCACAAAATTTAACTCAGTTAAAGTTTTAAATGTTCAAGACCGACGAAAAAGCAGTTCTCTGAATGAATTCGATATTATTCGTATGTATGATTATGAAGCTACACCTTTATCAAAGATAAACGAAACCGATACCAATAAGGCTCGTGAAAAGGGTCTTAATCCAGCACAGAGTTTTAGGTCGCTGTTTCACATCGGGCTAGATAAAAATCATGTAAACAAGAATAGTATTTTATGACCCATTTTCATGTCTGCCTTGTCATACAAGTGGTTTGTGTAAACTAAATTGGTATATATATACGCCTGTACTGTATACCGTGTGTGTAATACGTTTTCGTTGTATTCATGTGTGTTTTTTTCGGTGCGATTTCTAAACTTGGTGGATCTTCAAACAGTTTGTCTTTGCAATCTTTTCCAGTGGAGATTTGTTCGATTCTTGCTTGTTGTTTGTTGCACGGTTGTTTATGCTTTAAAAATTACTGTTGTTTGTTGAAGTCATAGCTTTTCTTTAATAGAACGAGATTTGATATGTACGTTGTCTTGACAAGTCATCTCTGGAATTTCTTTTACCTATAGTTTTCTCTTTCTGACTGACCTCTCTAGAGAACGCTCAAAAAAATTAAGACTGATCAATCATATTTATTGATCTCACTACTAAATTTTACGAAAATTTCGAAAGTAGACCTTATAAGTTTTGCGAGTAGACTGGATAAACTATTTTCATGTTCAATGTATCCACGGTGCATAGCTAATCATAGTCATTCACTAAGCGTGTAGAAAACACTCATAGATATTTTTTCATTAATTTAATGCTGGAAAAACCTTAGTACAAATTGATTATTCATGGTTCTATGGAAAATTTATTTTTAATTACCATGCTCCGTGATGTGATGCCTGGGGAAAATTACTGTGCATTAATAATTATAATTTTATAAGAGCACATGATAAACACACTTTATATTGTAAAAACTAATCAAATTGCTAGGGTTTTATTTGTTCCAATTGTTTTTGGTAGATATTTTCACCAGTAGTTTGTATTAGTTATTTTGCAATATGTCTGAAATGTTTCTGTGTTTAACGTTAGTTTGTTCATAAAACTGTATGTTAATTTTTTTTCCGTTGTTATGAACACTTTTCTTTGTTTTATAGATGTATTTCAGTTTTACAAATGGAATTTAAAATTTAATGAAAATAAGACCCTCGGACCATAAGTATTGTGTGATGGGATTCATCATTAGTGATAATGAGCTACTGGTTTTGATGTGTGTGTGTGTGTAACTGTAATATGTATCATTGCTGTGTGATAGATAGTCTATAGCTCTTATATGTTGTACTGTAAAAAAAATTTTCAAAGAAGTTTACTTTACTCTTATGATGGTACTTAATTTGTGTGTATTATCTAGTTTTTATTGTAGTTGAATTATTTCTTAAACTCTGAAGCAATATTATTATTTATTTGAATAAAATGATTTTTTAAATATGTATTTCTAAGAGATCAGTACTTGTAGACTAATTACAGTTTAAATCGGTTAAGTGTTCTCTATTGTTACGCTAAAGTTTCGAGTGTGTGATTATTCATACTGTTTTCAACATTCAATAAGAGTGCAATATCCACCATTTTCAAGTATTTTTTTCGTTTATTTAGTGGTTGAGTAAAACACATAAGAGCATGATGTTCGCTGGGGATTTCATTTCAACCATCTAAAGTTATCTGTATGTCTTCTATGAACACGTCACTGTAGCATATCTCAACTTGCTAGATTAAAAAGCAAATAAAGTGAGATTTAGACCTTAAAATAGAATTCTCTGAGAAAATTATGATGTTATATGCAGCACTCAACTACTAACTGAACGGAAAAATGCCTGATTATGCTTGATAACCCACACATATCGATATTGAAGAACTGATGCACTACAGATTCACGGACACGTATTCTATCACAAGTTTACCCTTGGATACTTTTAAGCTGGAAAGACTCGAGTAGATCACTGCTATTCATGTCTAAATGAGGCGGATAAATATTGAATATTCAACATCTTCCGTAAAGTATAAACAATATTTTTTTTAATGAAAAGTTATAATAAAGCGACTGTGGTTTTCCACTTCCTGCTTTCAGCATTAACAAGATAAATGCAACTAAGCCGGTAGTTGAATTTGGTTTTAGATATTGTTATTCTGCAGATAAGAATATATCAAAATCGTTAGATCTAGACGTTAACTCTGAAATATATTACATATTTCTATAATATCTTATTGTGAAAGAAACAATGTAAATCAATTCTTAAAAAACGACAGAAAGGAAAATAAACATTTTGAATTAAGCATGAATAAAATAGATTTATCTAGTTGCACGAAAATCAGTAGATAGCATTTATTCTCTGTATGTAGATAAATGTACAGTTTTCACATACTCCATTCAAATTATTAAGTGGTTAGTAAGTACATTTTTTAGTAAAGTGAATTTCTTATTGTTAACTGGGTGATAAGAGTTTAGTGGTTTGGTTTTTACTACTAACCAGTAAGTAGATGTAATGTTAACTCTGATCCAACTGGTATAACAACTTAATTCATTTAACTAAACATTTAAAAGTGAGTGAACAAATCTCCAGCCTTGTTTCATTTAATTGCCTGACAAGGTTAAATTACTCTATCTTTAGACTTTATCACCGAAAACCATCTCATGATATTTCATGTTTAGTTCGAGCACGTGATGTAATCCTTCAAGTTATTAGTTATTGTAAAGAGAAAACTTGAAATTCCTTTAATATTCAGCATAAAAACTACTCTCATCAGACTTCTGGAATTAATTTACATTCCTACATTGTAATATTTGGTGATATTTTTTTATTATATGGCTTTAGCCAATTAATTCTCATCCATCCCAATAATGAGAAAATGGATAAGCTATTATTCAAAGATTTCATAATATTTATTTTCTATGTTGCTAAGACTTTAATATATTGTTTCTTAAAATAAGGCCAGCCATGCATCCACCCTAAGTATATACAGCGAACGCGAATCAAGTTACGCGCATGGCATTCAGATATCTGGAGAAATGCTTATGGCTGTGATTTACGATGATGCATATAATACACTAAGAATCAGTATCAAACAAGCACGTAACCTAGCGATAGCAGATAGAAAACGCAACATAACCAATCCGTAAGTTTAAATTTTTTCACAGTAATTGATGACCGGGAATTTTTCATGCTATATTTCCCTAATATTTGTGTTTATTCAGCATATTAATTTGAAACCGATTGATCACTAAGTAGAGACTTTTGTTCTGTGTGTCCAGTTTGTAGTGCAAGTCGAATTCTATCAACCAAGCTGCACTTTGATCACTAGTCCACATGACTTACCATTACATGCACTGTGTATCAATGACTGAAATAGCTCAGTAGTAAAGTCAGTACCTAGCTCTGGCTGACGCGGTTACGAAACACACTGGGATCTTGAGTTTTATCAAGATCGTAGATTAGCCCTGGTGACAGGTACTAAACAGCATGAAACCTAGATCTAGAACTGTATGTACACTTATTCTAATTAGCAATATTGAGCATACAGGTTTATCGAATGCATATTGCGTCACGGTGTCCTTCACCTTTGTACGAATAAAGATAAGTCAACCTCTCAGATCTGTTTAAAGTCATCTATCCCAAGATCCATGGGATTATGAATTGCACAATTGGTTCGAATAGTATGGACTTGGCAAAATTACTCTGTTCGAATAGCTCATATACTTTCCTTTATAATATCATGTCGTAGAAACCGAGAAAGTTCTTTTAATATATTTTGCATCATCTTCTGGAGTATATGCACTCAATTTTATTGTTATATATTTGCTGTCTTCCTTCTTTCTTATTATTATGCAAAACAATAGCTATGTGAAATGCTATTTACTACCAGATCGAACTAAGGGTAGCAAGCGAAAAACATCGTACAAAAAAGCAACATGTAATCCAGTTTATGATGAAGAGTTTAAATATCATATACTAAAACAGGATCTAACATTGCGCACACTCCAAGTATCTGTTTGGCATCATAATGCATTGGGTTTGAATTTATTTCTGGGTGAGATTTTTTTACCGCTGACTTTCCATCAGTTTGACCAAGCCTCCCATTGGTATACACTTGGTGAACACGTAAGTTATTTAATTCATTTTATTTTAGGTTTCATTGATCGATTCATCAACAAGATATGGATTAATTATGATGATTCTTTAGGACATAAACTATAAGAAATTCCCCAGTCTTAATTCCTTTTCCGATAACCTTTAAAAAAACTGTCTTGTGATGCACTTAAAAAGTACTAAAAGCTTCATATTACTAAGGAGTCCCTCCTAAGACGATTGATAACGAAGCCTTTTCACTGAAAATGTTTATTTACTACCTATGCATTTGAAGTTAGTGGTAGTACTTTTAGAGCAGAACCAAAGGAAGAATTCCAGTCTTATAACTGTTATCCAAGCTGAAAATTATATTATGATAATGGGCAACTACAGGTGCTTCTTTTAGATTTGAAAGAAACCTTGTATAGATCAATACACTCCTTTAATATAAGCTGCAGTGTATGTCTCAACTTTTCCTTATCGTTTTGACAAAAGGAGTCATTGCAGTAGTCCAAAACTTGACATTCTTATCACCAGATACATTCATCCGTATTGGAATTACCTTCGTTTCCTTCCAAATCTTCAAAATAAAGTTCATTGGTCACTATTTGGTCAAGATGCTCACTAATGGATGACACATAAGATCAGAGAATTTCTTAAGAAGCAGGTTCAGAATGTTGTCAATCCGTAAACATTTTAATGAATCAAGCGAATTCAGACATGTTGAAACCTTAGTATCATTAAATATTGAAACATAGCCCTCTATCGAACTTGAAGAAATGGGAAATATAACATCAGGTCCTTAGCATATGGAAGACTTATTTAAGCTACAAACATTGAGGTGGGTATCGCCATTAATCCATTCCACAACCATAAGAACGTTAAATGGTCTTCACATATTTGAAGATTTTTTTAAAAGATAAGAGCTTTTGAGTATACAATATATTTAGGAGTTTGATCTTTCGACTTACTAGACAATCAAGCCTTTAAACGCTAATATAATCCTTTTCCTTGCATAGTCTTCTATCTCTTCAGTTGTTGGCAGGTATGCTAAATGAATCTTAGAAAAATTATTTCGTTGGGACAAAAAACCTCAATGCAAAATTAAGGTAGTGATACTATGAACTATGTCGATTCACAAATCCCTTCCTATTTAAAATATCTTTTTCAGTTCGGAGATGTTTTCTTGTGAATCAGTAAAAAGTAATGGAGAAGATGAAGTATAGTCTGGGGTCATATAAATATTAGTAGAATAAATATTACTATAGTTTTTCAAGTGTTTTAGATGGCATTCTGATATTAAACAGTCGATAAAGTCGTTTAAAAACCTAAAATAAAAATGGTTAGATTGACACCAGCTCATTTTAATCAACATAACTACACCACCACATTTATTCCTGTTACTGAAACAACATTGATGATGTCTTGAAATCATATAGTGTTACCAGATTGTTATCATGAAGATAATTTAACTAGGACTTTTGAATTTCGGTCATACCACAATTACTTTATACGTTCAAAGTTTAGAAAAATTTCAGATAGTTATTTTTCCTTAAGTGATTGTAATTCGTCACAACTGTCATATAAGTGAAGTGAAGCAAAGCGATGATACTCTTCGGAAAAACTATTTAAAACAAAGTATATCATGAAAATGGCTAGTCTCAGTAAAATCCAATCACCATCATCATTCTGGGTATATTTACTTTATAATGAACATTGTTCAAATTGGTTTTTGAAATATACTCTACCTAATAGTATTGAATATTTTTATTAAAAGAATAGCAGATATTGACTTCCAGTTCGATAACCAACCAACAAAATGTCCTAATCGATAATCTCTATACGGTATTATTAAGTTTTCGACCATAGTTAAGACAAAAAACACATGGATTATCTTTTAAGTGATGAAGAAAATTTCATGATAACATTCTGAATTGTTGGCATTATTTATTAACAGACGAAATTAGATTATATAAACTTAAGCAAATATGATGGAAATTTAATTACGATTATTGTTATTAATAAAAATGTTTAAAGCCCCGTTATAAACTTCTTTTTGTAAAATCCTTCATGAAAGTAACAACTTGAAAATTTTACGTTAGAGGCATTTTGTCCATTGCAATTTGATTTCAACTTAGTATTTTTTTTAGAATTTTGCCTACGGACAGTTTAATACAACTATTTCTAAAAAAAATTTAACCCTATAGCGCTTCCTTCCAACGGTATCACACTTACAAGTCAGTCGAGGTGAAATAGTTTTAGCCATAAAACTCGTACCAGGTGAAACAGGTAGTAATCGGGGTGAAATTCATGTATGGATCAAATCTGCCAGAGGTCTCAGTGCGTCTACTGACGGGATGGCTCTAAAGAAGGATAATGTTGATCCCTATGTAAAAATGTATGTTCACGTAAGAAATTTTCTGGAGTAGTTTTTTTATATTTAGTGTTTTGTCATTCAGAGAACTAACAAGAATAATACAATTTACTGACCTAATAATATTCACTTTTCTAAAGCTAATTTATTTCTAGTGTACAAACAAATATAGCGATATACACATAGAAAAGATCAATGTTCGGGATTGCATAGTACATCTGAACACATTGGTATGCTCTTAAACGACATGGTGATAGAGAAAACAAAGGGAATAGAGTAACATTATTATAAATAAAAAAGATGGTAAATAAACATTCCCAAATGATTGGGTATACACATTTTTTATCGATATCACCCCTGATTACATTCAAGTTAATTCTAGCTGATCTAAGCCATTCCATCTTCTACTTCTGACTTCTGGATTTTGTGTGCACATCTTAGAGCCTGTTGTTAGTGGTTCCAAGTTACAGTTCAATCTTGTATTATATACTGTAGAGGTATGGGTGCTGGTTGTTTGGAGCGAATCGCCAGAAAGCCTTAAGTCTAAGCTTTGTGTTATTTGGCATCACAAAATAAGATGTGTCTCCATTATCAATGTAGCCTGTACTCTTCATGGGATCCTAACCTGTCCCACTTGGTGTTAATATCAACGATGCTACTACTGTGTTTCTCAAGCTCTAACTTGTACCTCATGATCGTAAGGTGATTCATCACCGAATAGTAACCAATACCATTTTCGTCAAGTCCTCAAAGTGGATCGAACTTTATTTATCAAGCTTCACCTTATCCACTACTCAAGGTGACTTAAAATAAAGGAAAATAAGTTTTTTTTATATTTTCGGTTGATATTTAGTAGTGACAGAATATGAATTCAATTTGTAGAGATTTGTGTTATCTGTTCGATCATTAATAATTCTGTGTTTATTAATATTTTCGATTCGGACATATAATATGTTTGAATAGAGTGATGTGATGAAAACAGCAGTACTTAACAGAAACGCACGAATTTAAAACAGACTTGCCTCCTTCCAGTATTCTAGTATTATCTACTAACAAGTATATTAGTTAACAACATCTGTAATTATAATGGAAAAATTACTTAGTGGTTTAAGCTAACTAGCTCAACAAAGGAATTATTTAGACCTTGTAACAGGATAAATTAAAATCTGAATTACAAAGTCAACCATCATTTTAGAATGTTGACATTCAAACAAGTTGGTTCCTGTTAGTAATACACTCTCTTTTTAAGTTTATGACGATTAAATAACTAAATTACGTATTTCATGTTAAATTGGTTCATTCAGTTCATACATAATAAAAACTTTTGGTTTTATGTGCCCAATCGACAATACACTCCTTATGAAATTTTGCTTCTAACACACGATCGTGTCATATCGGATTTCCAGATATATGTTGCCCGGTAAAGAAAAGCATTCGAAACAGAAGACAAAGGTTGTCAGAAAGAATAATAATCCAGAATGGAACCAAGCTATTATATACAGAGACATTATCCTTAATTCTTTAAATGAAATTGGAATAGAAATTTCTGTTTGGGATTACGATCGGTTCACATCAAATGATTTTCTTGGAGGATGTAGAATCAACTGTGGATCACGTATGTTTTTTGACTATCATATATTTACTAACCTCATTAAAAGTCCATAAATAATTTCTGTTAATAAAAAAACATGTTTTGTGGTCCTTTCACAACCAATTTCAAAAAACACCTTAAAACGTTAGTTCGTCATTCAACTACTTGTAAGTAGTTTGTGTGTATACACATCACGAAATAAAATAATTTCAAGTGTTCGTTTATGAAGAGTGATGATCATCCAGCCACATAACGACAAGATTCTAATTTGTCGAAATTTTTCAGAGACTCAGTGAACACAACTTGCTCTTGAGTTAAATACCAGTCAGCACCATATTTTGATGGTAAGCTAAATAATGAATGAATTCATAGATTAACAATTAAATTGGTACGAAAATGATAAATATTTTGAGTAATATGACAAGTCAAAGTGTCATCAATGAAAATACTGGTCAAATGATTAATTATTTTATTGTTTGATTAAGAAGATAAGCACAGTTTTGTAATATGGTCCACGTCACGAGTTGATTATAACTACCGAGTCATTACGTAGATCTCAGAATTTAAAATCTTTAGTATTTTTTGTATAAATAACTGTGATGTACCATTCGTACTGTTGCCATTCATAATAACGCTTTTTTCGTTGTCCGTCATATTCAGATAATCAACCATGGTTGGATGCAATGAATGCTGAAAAATCAGCCTGGTTGGCTATGTGCGAAAGACCAAATATTTGGATTGAAGCAACAATACAATTACGATCAAGCTTAAACTGACCAATCTTCATACTTGAAGGCAAGAATTCAGTGCTTCCATTCCTTCATCAATGCCAGAAAATTTTGATCAATTTTCAATATGAATAAAAATTAGTGGTATTCACATTGTTTATGTATCGGAACTAAATACTTTCATGGATATGATTTCATTAAGTCTGTGTTCTCATAATATGCGCCTGATGTTTTAATGGTTGCATTTTCATAGAAATACTGAAACTTTTGGTGAATATTTTCTTATGCAATATTCTTACCTTTTCAGTCTTCTTTTTTCTTAATAATTACTAGTGTTATTATTATTATTATAGTAATACACTATCACCATTATTATCTAGTTCATTTTTCAATATATTTTGTTACAATGAAAAGAAACTATAAATAATATTCATTAGAATATTACATATTTGTAATTTACCGCTTTGTAAGGCTTACTGTCCTTTTTATTCTATTGTTTATTATAGTCAATGAGGCTATGCATGAAAACTAATTATAACAGTGTAATCTTGTGTATAATTTGTCATAAAATATAATTAAAATTGGTTGCACTTGTTATTCTTCTTTCTTATAAAATGTGAAAGTGTGAGATTTTCATGAACATCAAGTTAATTATAGGGTTGCTTAAATTGTCCTTATTTGAAAATTATTCCGTTGTTTATATATGTCAATTTAGATGAAACAAAATTTGTGATAGAATAGTAATTGTATGATCTATGCCTTATTATTTGTCAGTTATCAGTGTCCATAGTGTAATCATATTGTAACTGCTCAGTTTCATTCCCAATTAATAACTTTATCTTCAGGTTGTAGTATTATTTCATAAATGTTATTTACTTATTTATTTATTTATGCCTGTTACCCTTCGTGAAGCATGGACCGCCGACCAGGATTTTTCAACCTACTCTGTCCTTGGATATCCTTTTGAGCTGTTGCCAAATGAAATCCATAAATGAGGTCTCGTAATATCGGGGCATAAATATAAAAAATGATTCAAATAGTTATATACACTGAGAATGGTTGACTTTACGTTGGTCACATCTTAAATGCCTAAAAAATGCAACATTGATAACTTTAACATGTTTTATAAGTGGGTAAAATTGTGAATTATCACCAAAAGAGAAAAGCCATGTTAGTGGGATTCATGAAGTGAAAATTTTATAAGTAATAATAATAATAATAACTGTAGATTAAGAAAGATGATTGATTTATTAGAAATGTTTCGTAGAATATATCAGAATAAATGTGTGCATACAAAGAGGTTGGGAATAATATTTTATAATGTATAACTAACAATTAGACTGACAGTTAAACCAGAAGTGAGATGATTCTGTAGCTGCCCAGGGTAAACAATAAGGCTAAGTGTATTTCTTCTGAATACAACTCTACTTTCTCTTATGTTATCCAGGTGACTTCCATCTTATAAAGGTGGTGTATTCTTGTGCTATATTGTAAATCATTCAGATATTGGTATATAATCGGACAGATTTTCATTAACTTAATCTGTTCTCAGTATCTACCAACAGAGAAAGGATGTATTTCAATAAAACCAGAGTACATAGCAGTGTGATATAATGTATAATTTATTCACTTTGTCAGTATATAAGGATATTTGCAATCCTTATCAAATTATCTTTTCTCAGCATGTAAATGAATCGCGAATGATCATTCCCGATTAATTTTCAAAGGGATTTATTTTAAGGTCAAACAATCATTTTTGAAAAAATTGTGAATATAAAACTTTCTACAAAACAAAATGGATTTATTGACTTCTTATGGCTTCCTATCTGTTACAAACATTTTTGAACGGAATTCATAATTTCTTAGAATAAATGGATTGTTACTCTCAGTGAAATACAGTGCTGGCGTTTTGTCCCATCCTGGACTCATCTTTTGAATATACCTGCCTTCTGGTTTTCACTGCTAGATACGCCTGTTAAAATGGTCATATTAAGGCGTCAGTCTCTGATACACATATAACAACGAGAACTGATTAAAACTCACTCCAGATAAGTCGAACTCTTATTAACAAGCATATTTAATCCCGAATCGTTCACTCAAATTGCTATAGGAGATAGAACGATAACTCTTAAATTAGAAAAAAGTAAAACTCATTAACCTTATATTCTGGTTTAAAAATCACTTGTAGCTTATGACCTAGATCTTAATAAATAGTTGGGAAGTATGACAGTTTAAGTAATGCACGAAAAGCTTAAAAGAGACTAAAATTCCGATCTATATTATTGCGATCGGGTTTCCAAAACTTGTTTGATTGAATATCTTTCAGCCATTGATTAATTTATTACTAGAAACGAAATTCCCCTGTTATGACTACTGAGAAGATTCCAAGTTATCTCGTTTTTTGTAAATGTTAGCTCTTTCTTGTAATGATAACCCCGAGTACAATTTTTATGTTTCGTATTTCTGACTGGCTGTTATCACTTTTAGTTTCGTTAATTTTTCCATGCGTCCCAAGGTCACATCTACTTAATATATAAATAGAGTTGTCCTATTTCGATTTTTATTTGTCAGATATTGATTCCCCTTCTGCAATGCTACCTTCTTGTTGAGTTCCATCTTCCGGCATTGTTTTTGGAGAGTTGTGCGGGTCATTTGTCGACTAAGCAAGTTCACATTAGATTCCGTTCATGTAAGAATGATCTCGAGCGTCCATAGTTAACAGTCACCGTGAACCATACCTAACAAATCTCAAGATCCAATAAAAACTTGTATTCATAATTTTAATTTGACTAAATTGGAACCCTGTTTTAATTTAGTCAGTTTAACAATATCTTCAATTCTTGAATTAGTTTAAATAAAAACTGGATAATGTTTTTAGGTAGGTGTTTAGTTTTAAATATGAAACCTTTTTGACTGTTGTGGTCTACGACAAAAGCTAAATGAATTCACTTGATCTTGGATTCCACTGCTAGCCACTATCCATCTTTGCTTAGAAGCTAAATGATTTTTCAACTTATATTCAATATCGGAACAATAAATAAAAACAAAACAGTTAGCAACTGAGATTTTCAGACGTTCAAAAAAGAAGCCATCTGCTTAGTTAACGTTTTAACAAATAATTTTAGATAAACAGATTTCGGTCTCTCATTGACAAGTGTCTAACTGTCCAACAAACTGGTTAATATACCCCAAAATATTGAGGCTAGCCAGTTGGAATAATTTTAAGAATAATTGCTTTCTATTCAAATCGCATCATTATTTTATTAGATGTTAGTGACAAAACCTTCCTAACGGTTAATTGACTTGTTGAAATGGTCTTCACTGATAATTCGCTCATCCAAAATCCATTAGTTAAATAGTTTCTTATAAAATTTCGTAGAAGTATCAAAATACCTCAATCATTACTATTAGTAAACATTTGTAAATCACACAGTAATTCGGTAGTATTTTTTATTCAGTAGAATTGTTTCACATTTATTAAGTAATTTCTGGTTATAGTATCAGAATTCTTATGAGATGAATGCATTGGTCAAAGTGTATAAAATAATCCAATTCATCTCTTTTAGGAAAATTGGTTGAAAATTTATGTCATATTGTTTTGAAAGTTGGATTTTAAAAACACATTTAAATCCAGGACTGCATTCAGAGTAGAAATTCGTGGACTAATAGACTAAAGGTGTTATGAGAGAGTAACTTGACTCATATACTGATGTCTAACTAATAAGCTAAGTAAAACAGGCTTTTTAACAACGACTAGAGGGTCACAATGATATTCACTAGATTATCCAATGACGATAAAAAATTTCGGATAATTCAACCGTGCTATCAAATGACTATTTAGTGATGCACTAGTCATCTAATTCATGTCTCAAAGTAATGTGATCGTATAGCAGAAATAAACCATGGTAAGATTCATATAATCTAATTGCACCATACCAGTTTGAAGTTGTAACAAAGTCTTTTACTTTAGGACTTCATCACAAATATTCTGATCATGTTTTATTTTACCTTTCATCCAAATAATTGTAAATGATTATCATGATAATTTATTAATTCATCGACCACAAATAATTTTGTATGTGTAGTCCTGAAGATTGCAATTAAAATAAATGTATTACTCACAAATTATAAAGTAGTTTAAATTAATTGATAAAATTATTAAGCAAATGGACAGCATTTATGAAATCAATATTGAATTTTGCTGTAGTTCGTTCTCTTCACTCAGACTAAACAGCAGCCCACAACTTTAAATATTCACATTATTAGCGTAATATAGAAAAATGAATTATCAATTAATAACGAACAAGTAGTTTGGAATGTGAAAGGAGTTAAGGATTTAGGCTTCTACAATGTTTTTATTGTTGCTTAGGGTGGCTATTCTAAAATACTTAAGATCATTTTATCAAGTGATATGATGACAATGTTAAAATTTTTTTGCCAGAGAAGAGGCATGTGATTTCAACTCACTTCACTGTGATTACAATTAATTAAGTCTACACTGCATCATCGCTTCTATGTAAATTTGTGACGGAAGTCTATTACAATATCTTAAAATCTGGGAAAAAAGTATAATAAAACACCAATTAAACTAGATAAAGCCTCGGGGTTTTGCCGACGAACAGATCTGAACATCTGTGAAAAACTGTGAGGATTATAGATCTGAGCCAGCTCATAGCAGGGAATTCAGATGTGGTCAAAACGAAAGTATTAGAAAATCATGTATCCAAACAACTAATAGAACTGAAAATCAGGATGATTAATAATACTACATGTAACCTGTTCGGTTAGGTTAGATTACATAAATCTAATATATCAATCAGAATTATTGTTCTTATGGTTGATATTTTGTGACATAAATTAGCTCGATGCTCATCTAGCAAACTAGAAATAATTATTAAAAAATTGGGCGAATAGACTAAACAAATATCCTAAATACACTTATGGTTTCATATAACACATTTTCATTTTTTAACAATACTCCTTTTAAAGAAACAATTGGCATTATTAGCCAATACTCACAAGATATATCCATATCACCAATACAGTTCAAGTACTTAATAAGATTGTTCATTGAAATGTCCAATTATGATTTAACATTAAACTAAACTGTCAACCAGATAATGTGTCTATAGGAATTCCTTTAGGACCACTCCCTATCGATATAATCGTTGGGACTTTAAAGTGAACAAAATTACTATCTATCATCAATAAGAATAAACTTTAATTGAAGAACGTTGGTTAAACCTTTTTTTGTGTAACTATATAAATAACACGACTAGCATGCAGAAAAATTTACAGTGAAGTCCATACAACTATTAGATCCACAATGAAACACGAAAGAAGGGATGAGTTCAATTCCTTCGATTATGATATTTCTAGAAATTATGGAACATGTCAAAGGTATATACATTGTGAAGAAACCTGAAATGACCAATACTTTTATAGGTTTGATTCTGTAAGATATAAATATGGGTTAGTGAAGATGCTCCACCGTAAAACCAGAAAATTATGTTTACTAAATGAGCTCGACAGGAGGTATGCGGCAATAAATAGTCTGAGAAGAAAGAGAATACCATCAATTATTTTATA